GCTAGTGCTAGTTCTAGTGCTAGTGCCTAGTAGTAGTAGTAGTAGTAGTAGTAGTACTACTACTACTACTACTACTACTACTACTAGTACTAGTAGTACTAGTATTAGTAGCAGTAGCAGTAGTAGCAGTAGTAGTAGTAGTAGTAGTACTAGTAGTAGTAGTAGTAGTAGTAGTAGTAGTAGTAGTAGTAGTCCCAGTAGTACTAGTAGTACTAGCAGTACTAGTAGTCGTAGTAGTAGTAGTAGTAGTCGTCGTCGTCGTCGTCGTCGTCGTAGTAATAGTAGTAGCACTAGCAGTAGCAGTAGCAGAAGCAGAAGCAGAAGCACGAGGAGGAGGTGGAGGAGAAGCTGCAGCAGCATCAGTGTTGTGACAGCAAGGAGGTAGCAGCAGCGATGCTACGTGTAGGAGTAGTAGAAGAAGTGCGGTTGCCTTTTGCCTTCGGCTCTCGTCATTGTCGCCGTTGTGGTTGCTTTCGTTGTTGCTATTATTTTGTTGTCGTTCTCATTATCGTCGCAGTTGTTCTCGCTGTTACTAGTAGCAACAGTAGCCAGCACAGTCGTTGTCGTCGCTACCGACATCGCAGTCTTTCTCTTTCTGTCCTGCCAGAATGCTTGATGCTCAATCTGCAATCGTGATTGGTAGTTACATGGGTGCTGCTAGAGTCGTATCAAGCTGAACATGGATGTGAATGATAGACCCGGAAAGCTCACCCAGAACAACAAACAGCGGCAAAACTGTCACCAAAGCGGAACCAGCTGCAATAGCAGTATCAATAGTATTGGCAGTCAGTCAGTGTTCCCCCATCTGTGTGTACCAACAGCAACAGTATTGCAAGGATCATCAGTAGCAGAAGTCGCTTTTAACTGGTAGTGGCGGTTCACGCGTGACCATCCGATCCCTGAAAGGAGCGTCCATTTCCTGTGGACAGGGCCCTCGACTGTTTCCAGCAATGGCGAGGGGTGACCCGACTGGTCTTGGTTTCAGTGTCGGTTACAGAATCCAGTCTGCTACAAGTACAGCTACGACGTCTACTGTTTCCACCATCTTGACGACGCCTACTACTGCTGCTACAGCCACTGCAACTACTACAACTACTCCTACGAACTACTACTTCACACCCTGCTACTCACAACTTCTTACTACTACTAACAGCAACAACGACAACAACAACAACAACAGCAACAACAGCAGCAGCCACAGCAACAACAGCGACACCACCACCACGACCACCACCACCACCACCAACAACAACAACAAAAACTGCTAGTACTACTACTACTACTACTACTACTACTACTACTACAACTACTGCTGCTGCTGCTGCTGCTGCTGCTGCTGCTGCTGCTGCTGCTGCTACGGCTACGGCTACTGCTTGTTGCTGCTGGCACTGCTACTACTACTGCTACGACAACGACTACTACCACTACTACCACAACTGCGACTCCTACTCCTAGGACTACGACGACGACTACTATACTGCTGCTACATCTGCTAGGATGCCCGAGGCTGTGATTCAAAGCTCCTGGACTACCGACACTTCGTCTGAGAAGCGACAAGATGCGACACTGTGCAGCGACCCCAGGGCATCCACAGGGCATCTTCACATGTCGGGTACAGGGTTTCAGGCTTCGGGACTAGGATTGGTATGGTCTCTTCGCAAGTCGAAGAGAGATGAACATCTGACACACCGCTTCCACTAAGCATCATGGCTCTCATGTTGAAGATAAAGCGCAGTGAGATTCTCAGGCTGCTGGCCTGTCTTGCGGCGTCTTGCGCTAAAGCCGCAGTACATCACCAACAGGTGCTCCGTGAATGGGAGGGCTGCTGGAGGTTGTAATGATGCTTTAGGGTATAGAAGGATGCTGGTGAGTAGCACTCAGTAGCATAGCTGCAACAGCGATTGCAGGCATCACCCTGAACTTGGCAGCCTTCCTCTTCTTTCTGCGCTTTTCAGCCGAGGAATTGTGCGGCAAACGTGCTTTCAGCCTTCTGTCTGCGCAACTCGTTGCTCACAGCTCGGGTCCGGTTGAAGTTAACAACACATTGGAGGAGAAGTGACCCCACGCCATCAACTTCAACCTTTAATGCATGCAGTCCTTCTGTCTTATAGCGGTTTCTCTCAACGTGGAAGGGGTGCAGACGGGGGTTTACTGAGACCGGGGGTGACTTCACATTGTCGCGTCGGGCTTGTCGTTGCAGGCTTCCCGGCGCACCGAGCCTCTGGGATCTCCATGCAGATGGTGGCAGTGAACTCCTGTGCCATGGTCTGATGACATAGCATTCCGGTTGTCGTCTCATCACAGACTATAAGCGGCTCGCATTAGCCATGGAAGGCTTCGATGATTTCTGCTTTCCTGTTTCCTAAGATCAGCTTAGTAACTAGGTCCACGCAAATCATCTGAACCGGACGACATCACAACTTCTCCTCTGCTGCCTTTCAAGCGTTGACGCATCCTCCCATCCGGTTTCTTCTCACACGGGCGTGTCTTCTCCTCGACGCTAATGTGGAGAATAGCAGGGAACCGCGAGCAAGTCTTGGTGTCCTAGTCGGTCCTCATAGGTGCAACAGTTCCCAAACTTGCTTTGCGAAAGGAAGGCAAGCGCTAATCAGCGCTGCCGGCAAGATGCAGCAACCACGAAGGCTA